ACATTCTGTTTTGGAGAACAAGAAAGCCTTTTGTTTACTCTGCTTTGAGATCATTTTAAAATAACATTGCAAACAATGTTATTACCGTATCCGGACAGTCTTTTCTATGTCAGGGTGCCGCCATATAACTTGTGTCTAAGCTTTTACAGCTCTGCTTCCCATTCTGCACCATTCAGAACCACCACCCCACCATCATTTTAATTTCTTCCTCTGACTTTTCTCTCTTTTTCTCTCTCTCCATCCGCTGTGCAGCCATTTACTCTCTCTTCTCATCTCTGGCTTTGCCTCTGTCTCCCATGGTCTCTACCCTTCCTTCCCCATAGCTGTCTCTACCTAGGCTGTCTCTGATACAGTCACCTTGTTAACACTTTGAAGCTGTTAAGATCAGAGAGCTTGACAAGTTGCACTGAAATGTGGCAGGCCTACTCCTGATTACACAGACTTAAATATAAGACAGCCAATTTGCTCCCACTTTGAAACCCTCAATAAACTAAAGATCCAGGGCAGCCCACATTCTGCTATCTCCACTGCAAATGTAAAATCCTGCTCCTCAAATGTCTCGCTATTCTATTCTGTTCTGTTCTATTTTGCTCTGTTCTATTCTGTATTTCAAAAACTAGTGCTTTTTCAATACTAAATTATCATTAACCACTATATACATTTATTTAATCTGACTTTGTGCTTTCACATACTTAATGTAAAACTCAACAAAAAGCTGACTGCCAAGGAAAGAAACTTCCCGTCACTGCATGTGAGTCATATGTCATCGCCTTCAGTAGGTTAGCCTTTAGTGACAGTTAGACACTTTGTTATGACCCAAAGGTGATTCTGACAGGGCATCAACAACCTTACTCTCCCCTGAGTCACCCTACAGCCCTGCACTGTAAACCCTAAGGCAAGGCTGATTATTACTTGCAAGTTTAACTTAAAGCCAGGAACTGAATCATAGAAACTGTTAAGCTGCAGTGACAAATTCACACTTTTCAGTTAGTTTCAAGGGGTAAGCTCAGATCATTTATCAGTTCACTGTTGTATTCCTGTGTCTTATATCCATGAAAAGTCATTGGTTGCTGTGATCATCCTTTGATGAGGGCAAATGTATTGTTTTTTTTTGCGAAAATGTTCTTTTTGTACAATAACTATAGACGGTACAGTATAATCATTTCTTATTGTAATTACATTTTTTCACTTCTATCATTTTTGGGTCTAATTCACTCATTTAATAGATGATCATGCTTTAAGTTTTGGAACTTATGACACTGTCCCAATAATGTTTTGGGAGATATAAACAGGAAGTATGAAAGAATGTTGCCACAGATACAGTTAATTATGTTAGGATTCTTTTTGCATATATTCGTTTACATTCTAGTAAATTAGCACGATATAAAATGTACCGCATTAGCCATGAGTACCTGTTTCTTTGATAGTGAAGTGTACGAAAACTGAGTATTAATAATGCCCAGGATAGTATCATCTTTTTTCTAGGATTTCAAGGGGGATAATAAAATTGTCAGAAAGTGTAAGTCAGAATGAATCTAAAAATATGTTTATCATCTCTGTGTGTTAAGATTTGACTGAGTGGAAACTCAGAGGAGGATGATTTTTTAGCAAATTGGGCACCAGGGGTTTTAGTCTATACCTTAATTACATCCCTCAGCTATGAGTCGTGCCAGACGTATTGTTTTTAGAACATCGGTATGCACCGTGTGTTTTTTCCCCTCACATCACTCCCTCCTCGACTCTCCTGCAACTGCCCCGCATCCCCCCGGGGGATGTTTGAAAACCCCTGAGTTGGCATAATGACAGATGAAGTTAGCAGACCCAAAGCTTACTTAAAATGTGTTGGTTAATGCCACACTTCAGTTGTCCAACTAATATAAGCAATGCATCTGTGCTGTACCTGGCACACAGTGTTTCTTATATATTAAGGACCTGTTCTGCACTGACCAATAGGAACTAAACACTCCCTCATCTTTTTTTTATAAGACTTGCGCTCCTACCTTTACATGTAATGCATTGTATCCACATTAATGGAACCATAATCATAAGTAAAAACTTCCTTCTTGCTGCCTTGAAAGGTGTATATAGGAAGCAAAATAGTTTTCTCAAAGATCTCAAGTAGCAGCAGTGGTCAACTTGAATTCAAACTCGAACAATGGATTCCTATGTTGACCCATGTTCACTGTGGGGAAGAAAGTATCACAGTGTCCATAGAGGATTCTCAGACTGCAAATCCAACATTTCCTGCAGTATAATCCTCTCCTCTGCTGTCTAACCATATGCTCAGTACGTCCCAAACACTCATAGTTGTGTTAGTTGTGTCCTAACTGAGTAACAAAGTAAACTGTGATACTGGAGAGGTTTTCTGAACTCCTGTGGCCATTTTGATACTTTCTTCCTGCTGTGAAAATGGGTCAGTTCTAGATTCTTGTTTTAGTGGGTGAAGTCAAGCTAACCACAGTTACTGTTCTCCATCTATGAGAAAACTACAAAATCTATAATTAGATTCCTGTGAAAAGCCAGACTATTGATTTGAATCATATGATGTTTATGTAGGCTTAAGGTGTATGCTTTTGCTGCTTATTACCCTTCCTAGTTATACTGACATGACCAATGAAAATCTTAGATACCAAGCCCAAAACGGGTAAATCTACATTTTACCTCACTTATATTTATCACACCTCTGTGTAATCTAATATGTTAATCGTTCAGAAAGCTAAAACATAGATTTCACCATTTAAATTGTGGGTTTTTGGTTATTCTCAGCAGTAGTGGAGAATTTGTATTTTCTCCATCTTCTTTTGTAGGTTTTTTTTTTCCCTTTCTTTTTTTCTGGCACATTTACACTCCTGGTTATTTTTTGCTAAGCGAGTGACGTCCTGGCTCTGACCTTTAGTTTGCACAGAACAACTTAGCTGAGCGTAGTGTGTGTGTTTTTCAAGCTGCCAACTTGAATCACTCCAGTGAGGATAGACTGACAGAAGGATGGGTATAGCTAGCCTAAGGGGGGAGAAATAGCATCATCCCAGCAGAATGATGAACTCACTATGTGTGTATGTGTGTGTGTGCAAGTATGCACAGTAGGTAGGTGTGTCTGGCTTGCTGTGCACGTGTACAGTAGGTAGGAGCTTGCATGCATGGTGCCAGCATTTGTGCAATTGAATTAACACATGATGACAACATTTGACACACACAGACTTGTCTGCAGAACCTAATTTTGAAATACAGAGAAGAGAGGGTGTCTGGGGGAAACATATCCAGTGGTAAAGGAGTACGCTCACTTTTATTGGATAACTCTCACAGTCTGGACCAATGAAACTTTTTTTTTTTTATTATTATTGTAACTGAAATATTGATACCACCATAGTATCTGGCAGTATATTTTCTCTGACTGTTCATGTATTTGTCTTCAGGATGATTCAGAATGGTGAGAAAAGGCAAAAACAGATAGATAAAAAGGGAGGAGAAAATGGATGAGGGAAGCAATATCAAGGCACAGGCTTGCATTATTCTGTGGTTTTACGACAAATACTTAATGAAAATCCCCGCAAGGGTGATAGAAGCCTGTATTTAATTAAGCCTTTATAAAATATTAACCAGGGAGGCCAGGGCGATTTCCCCTCTCCCCTGGTCTGTTCAGTAGATTGAACCACAGTTACACTACATAGACAGCTCTGAATTATAATTTCAGATAGTAGGTGAGCAGTAGAGAGAGTGAGAGAGCAGGTCTAGTGCTCACTAAAGAGCCAAAGGGGAGGTTGGGATGAGGGACCGATGCTGCTCCTACCTCTGGAATGTCTTCTAATCACATTAGGGGGAACTATAGCTCTGATTTATAAGGGCTCTTTTAAGTTCACTTTTCAGCCCCAGCACCTCTATGTCTCTACCTTTAACAATCTTTGAAATGACTTTGATCTCCTAATTTGGGCGTCACATCCTGTGAAGGGCACAATGTGCAGAAAAGGTGTAAATCATTACTAAAACTGTGGTGTCTTTTTTTTCCCTTTCTTTTTTCTTCAACACAACGATGATGGCTGATCTATAGGGAGCTGTGGAAGAAGGCCTTAAACTGCATTTGCTATTGGGGAATAAGATAAGGGATTGGATGGAGGAAATATACTAATTTCTTTTGGTCACGATTGATGGATGAATGTCATTTTTTTTGAGAATCATCAATTACACAAACCATCAGTATTCACAGAGGTAGAAACCACATAGAAAATCACCTGCAAAATGTGTGACATATGCAATAGTCTCAACTTAGAGGTTCACTTCAGATTTTTTTTTAAATTTATTTTTCTAAACTTTCAACAACCTTTAGTAGTCTGAGGTGTCATTACGTGACCCGTGTGCAGGATGTCAGCCATGTGATAATAATAAGTGGCCAAACAAGGGCTTTAATCCCTGTCGTTGATGCAAAGACAGTTTTGGCATTGAACTTGATTGGCCTTGATCCCTCTTTACTTTGGCTCCTAGTCGAGGACTTTGACCCTTCCCAGCCAAAGCTAGCGGCTGTTGTCATCTGGGGTTCAGAGTCTTTGTCAAAATAAAAGTGAACAAAGATTTGTACTAGCCTGCTGTTAAACAGAATAAAAATACCTAATTTTCAGTTGAATAAACTGCTGCAACACTTATTAAGCAATGTCTGATAAAAGGAAAATACTGAGTTGATTATATTAAAGACAATAAGTTCTGTTTTTTATCTCAGAACCTTACACTTAGTGTTTGGTGAGAGAGACGTCATGTTTCATTTACATGTTGGAAAAGAAAGCATGTTTATTTTATTTATATATATTTTTTGTGCTTTAAGTAACTGCTGACTTTTTCAGTGTCTAAGCAACATCTTTGGTACATTTCCTAAACCTTTACCTATGAATACTTAAACATAGCCACAAAACATGTAATGATGTTTTTGTTACTACAAGCAGATGTTGTAGGGAGACTGGGTTGCCATGGTGTTAAACTCACTGTCCTCCCATTTACTCTGCATCCATTTACAGATCCATACAGACTCTGACGAAGGTGAGGGCAACATCAAATACACTATCTCCGGAGAAGGAGCGGGTTCCATCTTCATCATCGATGAGCTTACAGGAGACATACACGCCACAGAGAGACTGGACCGAGAAGAGAAGGCTTTTTACACTCTTCGAGCTCAGGCCCGGGACCGCCTCTCCAATGACCCACTCGAACCAGAGTCAGAGTTTGTCATCAAAGTCCAGGACATCAACGACAGCGAGCCCAAGTTCTTGGAAGGTCCCTATATCGGCAGTGTGGCAGAGCTGTCACCAATAGGTAAGCTGTGAACATGTTATAAAGCCAGAAAAGGACCATCTGGGTCACTGTTTGAGTCTTTGAACTCAGGATGCCCCAAAGGTGCCTATACTGTATGGAATTACCAGTTATATTACAGCTATTTCCATGATGCATAAGTAAGGTCTATCACATAATACTTTGTCCAGGGCTCAAGGGAAGCTAGAAAGTGCCAAGAAGAGCAAAATGATAAATTATTCCCCCACAGCAGTGATGGACACATGAAAACGCTCACATATTTCATCGAGGTGTTAGATGAAAATAGATTTGGAGTCATGAATTCACTGCGGATAGTATAGTGATGTGAAGCTATAACCTGTTGGTAGGAATGAGATGGAAAATTAAGAAGGCGATGCAGGCATTTAAAGACAGCAGATGCAAACAAATTGCATTGTTCCCAGATGAGCCTTGTGGCTGTGCTGTGACACACAGTTTTGGGGCAATTGATGAAGGCAGAATGAGAGGAAAGAGGAGAATAGGAGAGGTGCTTCAGAGGAGTAGATAATAACGAGGGTACACCGCATTTCCAGCGAGGCTTTTGACAATGACACCACAATGCTTTTAATCTTGACAAACATGTTTTTATTGTGAGCAACAGTATTAGCGGCACCCCATTGCTGCTTAAAATTCTCAGTGAAATGGAAAAGACAGGTGAATGAGGGTGTCAGGGGCTTCATTAGCATGGTATTAATGTCAAAGACACAGCTGATGTTTAATAAACAAAATTCTGTTTGGCTGCCAAGTAATATCACAATACCATGTGTGGCTCAGGGTGTTGTGTGCGATGCCCGTGTTTGCGTGTGTGTTCATGCATATGCAGCACAGGTTGGGGGGGTTGGGTGGTTGCTCCTTGTTTGAGTGACTCCAGGAGTGGTGCAAAATGGAATGGCTCTTCCCTATTCGAGCCTGATTGGAATTAATTCCTGCTTCCTCAGCATGATCCAAACCATGGGCATTTCTGCCTACAGTGCTCTCTAAAACTGAATGGGGCTTGTGTGTGAGTGAGGGAGCGAGAGAGAGCAAGTGAAAGGTGGCGACAGCAGGAGAGAGATAAAGAGTTTTAGAAAACGATGCAAAACCTTGGGAGGCGAGAGAGGTATTATCTCCTCAAGAAGGAGAGAGAGAGGGTGTCATCGAAGCCATGCTTAGTTAATGTTAGTTAATGTAATCTTAATGATCATGACCCTTTCACTTCGCCCGCTACCCCTTGTTCGACCCTGTCGCGCCTCAGTCAAATTACACACTAAATGAGTGTGGAGTTCATGTTTTAAACATCGTTGTGGAGCACTGCCCCTAATGAGGTAACATCTACTGCTTAGTCAAGCGTTCTCCGGCCCTGTTTCTTTTTCTTTCCGCTGTTCTCCTGTTGAACATCAGCTAACACCAGCAGTATTTTTCTGGCATGTCAGTGATAAGGTCACAAGCACAATGACAATAACTGAAAGGAGTGAAAAGGGGAAAATAAATAAATAAAAAACAAGGTGCCAGACGGAGCAGCTTGATGCAACATGTCATTCACCAGGCTTCAAAATACCCTCCTTTGAAGATATATGTGAAATGTATCACCATATCACTAATTTAATTTAATATCCAAGTATGAGGCTGGCCATATTGTATGAGTCTCTTTCTGTAAGCAAATTAGCCCGAACAAGTATTTCCTCTGCAACCCAAGCCTGAGGTAGCTTATTTGTCTTTGCTGTAGATCTCCACTGTTGTAGTGAGCCATATCCCAACAATGGCTGACGTGTTCTGTAATTACAATCAACATGGCAGTGCTGTTTATTTTGGATTAACTCCTCATCCTGTGACTATGAATACTCAGCAAAACAACGAATGTGTAATAAGTTGTGGTTTAAAATAACCCCCAACAAATGTATGTTTGAGCAATGTTAGTGGCTGTTGGGATTTAAAAGTACTTCTTTAAAAATGAACCTATAATTTTGTGACCTGTTTTAAAAGGTCATCATTGAGAAAAAATGATGATGGGGCTGAGTGCTACAGACAGGGTGGGTTAGAAATTATGAAAAAGATGCATAGCAAGCTGGTTCTAGTCTTTACTTTTGATTTGTTAAGAGCAAAAATATGCAAATAAAAGTCTTTTCTTAAAAATAATGTTTTATCCCCTCCCCAAAGATGTTATAATTACTTTGTTCATTTGTCAATGTTTCCCTCGAGCTGTCTCAACACCATATATAATTTGTTTTAATTTACTCCAGCTGTGAGCTTCTCTGTCTTTTGTGCATTGCTAGATCACTTCTAGCTTGATGACTTATGGGGATTTTAAAAGCATGCTGATGTCTCCTGTATACTTGATTTTGTCTTTTTCTTGCATGACGCCAGTATATACTCAAAACCTGGTTAGAATCAGCACTTTTTATGTAACTTGGACACAGCCCCTGTAATGTGAGGCAGGGTTGCGTTTTATGCCGTGATGAAAGCAGGTTGCAAGCATTAGCCACACCAGTAATATGCTCACTGTGCTGTTTTATGGCCAACCATAGTGGCAAATCGCCTCGGAACACGTGAGGCCATAATAGTAAGAAAGCAATCAGTAGTCAGCTGCCTCGGGCATATTCATCTTTACTTATCACCCCTGTCATGTCTCCCAGTGCCCGTCTTTGTCATAGCCTTACAGCCTCTGATCCTGCCTCTCCCTTTTTTTCTGTTTTTTCTGTTTTTTTTTGTAGAGGCTTCCGGTCTCCCTGTCTGTCTCTCTGTCAGCCTGTTCAGCATTTTTTTTTTTTATTTTACCCAAAAAGGGCATTCCCTCCCCTCATGTAGTTTGTTTTTCAGGGTCGGTTCAGGAGAAGATAGGACAAATAATAGAAGTGGCAAAGTTGATGATGAAGTGTGGGGCCCGAGCTCTGTGTTGTCCTGTGAAAAATGTGTAGCTAATGAAATTGCTGTCTTAAATCAAATTTGTAGTGCATGGGTGATTGAATGTTGCTTTGAGAACCATGCATGTCTTTATGTCGGGATAGAAGAGGGAATATGGAGTCGCTCTGTAGGAGGTTGCTGTGTCCTCTGACTTGTGATGATAAAGAGTGTGAAGGATGGATTTAATACAGTGTCTAGCTAGAGGACATCGTAACACAACCAAAAAGAAACATGGAGCTGACCAAAAGATGTAGCTCAGTTCTTACTTTTATTAATTGTAGGCCAAATATACATTCATTTTCTATTTTATAGCTCTGAAGATTTCAAAGTCGTAACATGTAGTTTAGTTGGAAAACTCTGAGGCTTGTAGGTAAAGAGCTTCAATGACAAATAACAGTTTGCTGGCCAACTGTTAATCAACCACAGGAAGGTATATGTATCGCTAGTATTTTTGAGCAAATGAAACAATATTTTGAAAAATGAACCAACGTTCGGTTCAGTGAATTCATCTTTTTGATTCATCTGAACAGTGTGTAACTTTGATTGTTTTCATGCACTCGTGTACTTTTTCACCACATTGCACACTGTTAGGAATTGCCCAGTGGGTCGGTGGTTGGCAAGGTTCTTGGTTCAAACTTGAGCAAAGTCAACTGGGGACTTCATTTGCATGTTCTCCCAGTAGCCTTTGCACATTCAACTGGCCACCTGCCCTGTTGTTCCCGTACCTCACTCCCAGCGCACACACCATCAGCAGGTTGAGAGAATGGATGGGTATGGCTGTTGTTCAGTTGCAGAAACACATTTGTCTTTGTAAAGAGATGCATATATTTTACTCATATGGTGGTGTTTTGGAGCAGTGAATCCTCCATCTGCCTTTTGTTTACCTTCCTCCCTTTGCTGGTGCTAAGCACTAACAACAGGGAATTCATTGTCTTTTTCTGCTGCATCTCTATGTGACAGATGCACAAGGACCAGAAGTATTGAACAGTTTCTTTTAAAACTTAGCTCAAACAGCGGTAATTGCTCACCAATATTAGCCCGTGACTGTAATTGCAGGGGGCTGAATTGCTCTTGCCCTTCTGAAAATATTGAACCCCATTCAGAAGGAATGTTGCACAGTTTCACACATTTCTTCACTTTTACAGTAATGCAGTCCCATAATGCCCAGCATTGTATACATAAAAAAAGCAAATATATGATTTTCTTCAAGCTTGCTCGAGAAGTGGCTTGAGCATTTGAACTGTTCAAACAGCAAGTTTTGGTATGGCTATGTGCTCCGAAGCTGTCTCTTGCTTTTGTTCACACTATTCAATAGGTGAGCCGCACTTATGCATATGTGTACATAGCTTACATGTGGAAAATAAAAGCAAAACAGTTTTTTCTGATATGAGCATAATGCAGTTTTAGTTGCCTTGTATTAGTAGTTTTCATTTATTTCATGATTTGGTTTGCTGTTAAGGCCTAAAGGAGATAAAGATGCACGATATTGTGGAATCAAAAACTGTCCATTACAGGCCTATTTGATTAATGGATGCTCACTTACAACCCAACAGGTCATCTTTCTCTTTATGGCTCACCCTCCTCTGCATTTTCTGAATAAAAAATGGACCCATCATTAATGTAAATCACCTTCAATGTTAAAAGCTAATGTTGCCTCCTGTCCATTTGCAAGGTAATGTTAAAGGTACACGTCTGTCCATTTAAAACACCCATCCCTCCATTATGAATTACATCTAATTCATCTCTGGCAAAAAGCCCTGTGTCAGGCTGAAGGTCCCAACAACATTCACTGAATGTACTTAAAGCTACATAATGGGTTAAGATACAAAAACAAGAAGCAGATATGATCATCTCAAATATTGGGAGGTTTTGGATTTTGTTTTGTTGTTTTGATAACACAAAAGCTAACTTATAAGAGAATTTATAGACCATTTTTATAGACTGCTACAGTGATTTGATATGTAACATTGGTCAGATGAGCCAAAATCGCTGTCATGTTTGTACATAAAATTTTAAGCTAAAGCTGGCAGCTGAGTAGCTCAGCTCACCATGATGAGGAAACAGTGGGAAACAGCAAGCTTGACTCTGTGAAGTGATTAAAAAAA